AGTAATTAGAACACAGAATAAAAGGATGAGGTCAATTAAAAACAAACAAATAAACAAAAAAGAATAGGATAATGCAACAATTGTAACAATATTATAAAAGTTATTCAGAACAGGCTTAATAGTAGTGAAGTTGTGTTATTGTTTAATGTTGGGAGTTCATTTGTAATAGAGACTTTCTTTAATTAAAAGTTCAATATTGGATGATCCAGATAAGATGACTTTGAAATTCGTAATCAAGATGGGGTGTTTGTTGTTTCCACTACATGTGCGAATCATGGAGTCTGGTTGGTTTAATAGTTTTTTACCAGTTCTGCTTGACAGTCCCATATGCTAGCAGGTGTAAACAGTGTATAGTTCTGCAAATAGAAGTGGAATTTGTGTGTATTTATATATGAACCTGGAACATATAGGTGTAGGTAATAGGGCCTTATATCTTAACAGATTTTGTCTTTTGAAAGGTCAATTAAATATCATTTGTAGTTAAACTTGTGGAAAATTAATCAATTAATCTAAAAATTTATGACTTCACTATGAAGTTTAGCTCACCTAAAAAAGGAACAATCAGTCTTTACGGATATTTGTCTACAGTGTATGGTTTCTTTGGGGGTTCAATTTCTTGAGAAAGAAACTTGGGTGTTAGGGTTTGAATAAAATGCAAGGGATAGCTGTTTTATATTACATTGTGGTTACTGTTCAGTATGAAGAGATAGGTACAACAGATGTTATATGCTCTATTAATAAGACTGAGTATAAGGTTATATTTAAAGAAGTTCGGAATAAAACTTTTGAAACATATATGTTATCCTGTATATGTTTGCTTACAATAAACAGATGTTGTGAAATGGTTATCTAATCTGCTGATTTGGATATCAAGTAACGGCAATTTACCATTTTTGTCAGGTTCACAAGTAAAATTAATGTTAGGGTGTTCAATATAGCTTCCCGCAAATGGAATACATACATTCTGAAGCGTTCAAAAATTAAATGTTTGTTACCATAAACATGTGTCAAATCTTCATTGTTGTTGACATCATTCTACTGTTTATCAACTAGATGGATTTCAAAATTATGCAAATATATCTAGTCAAACATGTCTAATTTTACATTTTCTAAAATTACTGTATCAAAGTACTTTATGAATTTTGCAGTTTCTTTGAATTCTCTGAGCTGTACAAATCTTGATGAAAACTGCTTCTGAATTGACCTTATAATTTCTAACTTTGGCTGTTATGGAATGTTAGGATAATGGAATCTTCTGTTATTTATAAAAGCACTTGGAAAGTTGTACTTTACATAACATCTTATTATAGTTTTAGAACAAATGTATTTGGTAAGAATATTTCAAAATTTGGTAATTTTACTATTATTTTAAATTTAAATTTGTTTTATATAGTATATGGACAACCAAAGATCATTACTATACTAAACTCTAAAATAAAATACTCAAAACCAAATCTTATCATTCAAATATTTACAAAACCTTCCTTTAAACTCCCTGTTGGAGGCAGTAAATTTAAGTGAGATTAAGGAAAAGCTTGATAACTATATGAATGAAAAGGGCTGGTTTTAAGATTTTTATTTTTTATTTTTTTTCTAACTTAGTTGTTTCATAGTTTTAGTTTAGTTTAGAGGATGGGACAACCGAGATGGACCAGTAGGTCCTTCTTGTCTCAAAACATTATGTTATGTTATGTATGTTAAATTAAGTGTATCTACGACATCTGAAAGCAACACATTCCAAGGGCCAAACACCCTATTAGAAAAATAAAGGTCTCTCAGTTGAAAATGGCTCCTATCCTGACAAAGTTTATTTGTGTTGTCTAGCCTTATGATTCTTGATTCTCACCATTAAATAGAAAAAAAGGTGATGCTAAAATACTATCAATTATCTTAATCTTAAACACTTCAAACAGATCCTCTATAATTCTTTTTTCAAAAGAAAACAATTTCAGTAATCTTAGCCCATTCACTGCAGCTGTTCTGTAGATAGGGTGGATGATTTTCTTTAGTATACTTCAGTATACCGAAGCACTGTTATAAAACAATGGGCCAATCATATTTTGTCAGAACCCCTCACAATGTCAACAAAATCCCATATATGGCATAGTTACAGTGTACAGAAGAAAAAGTCCAACCTGTATATGTGACAGCTGCAGTGAATGGGTTAGCATATCCCCATATGATAACCTTCAGATCCTAGATACCATCCTAGAAGCCTTCTTCTGAACCCTTTCAGATAATTCAATGTCCGTACTATACTAAGAAGTCCAGAACTAAATACACTGTTCTAAACAAGGCCTAACCAGTGACCTACAAAAGAACATTATAACATATTTAGACTTCTGTTCAATATTTCTGTACACACAACCTAAAATCCTATTTGTTCTACCATATCACCTATAGAACTGCAATCTAATATCCTGGATCATACCACCTGTATGACTGTTATCTAATATTCTGGATCATACCACCTGTATGACTGCTAGTTAATATTCTGGATCATACCACCTGTACGACTGTTATCTAATATTCTGGATCATACCACCTGTATGACTGCTATATAATATTTTGGGTCATACAACCTGTATCACTGCTTTCAAATATTCTGGATCACATCACCTGTATCACTGCTTATATCCTGGATCACATCACCTATATGACTGCTATCTGATATCATTAATCACACCACCTGCATGACTGCTAATTAATGTTCTGGATCACACCACCTGCATCACAGATATTTAATATCCTGGATCACACTACCTGTATGACTGCTATATAATATTCTGGATCACACCACCTGTAGGACTGCTATTTAATATCTTGGATCATACCACCTCTATGACTACTAGCTAATATCCTGGATCATACCATCTGTATGATTGTATTTAATGTTCTGGAACATATCACCTCTATGACTACTACCTAATATTCTAGATCACACAATCTGCATGACTGCTAAGTAATACTTAGGATCATACCACCTTTAGAACTGCTATTTAAAATCCTGGATCATATCACCTATAGGACCAATATCTGATATCCTGGATCATACCACCTGTATGACTGCTATTTAAAATCCTGAATTGTATCACCTATAGGACAGAAATATTGTATCATGAATCACATTACCTGTATGACTGCTATCTAATATCCTGGATCAAATCACCTGTATGATTGCTACCTAATATCCTGGATCACACCACCTTTATAACTCCTATTTAAAATCCTGAATTATATCACCTATATGATTGTTATCTAATATTCTGAATCATACCACCTGTATGACTGTTATCTAATATTCTGGATCATACCACCAGTATGACTGCTATTTAATATTCTGGACAACACCACCAGAATGACTGCTGTTTAAAATCCTGGATCATATCACCTATAGGATTGCTATTCAATATCCTGGATCATACCACCTGTATGACTGCTATCTAATATTCTGGATCACACCACCTGTAAGACTGCTATTTAATATCCTGGATCACACCACCTGTAAGACTGCTATTTAATATCCTGGATCATACCACCTGTATGACTGTTATCTAATATTCTGGATCATACCACCTGTATGACTGCTATCTAATCTTCTGGATCACACCACCTGTATGACTGCTATTTGAAATCATGGATCATATCACCTACATGATTGCTATCTAATATCCTGGATCATACCACCTGTATGACTGTTATGTAGTATCCTGGATCATACCACCTCTAAGACTGGTATTTAATATCCTGGATCATATCACCTCTATGACTGCTACCTAATATCCTGGATCACACCACCTGTAAGAGTGCTACCTAATATCCTGGATCATACCACCTGTATGACTGTTATCTAATATTCTGGATCATACCACTTGTATGACTACTATCTAATATTCTGGATCACACCACCTGTATGACTGCTATTTGAAATCATGGATCATATCACCTACATGATTGCTACCTAATATCCTGGATCACACCACCTGTATGACTGCTATATAATATCCTGGATCACACCACCTGTATGACTGCTATCTAATATTCTGGATCACACCACCTGTATGACTGCTATTTGAAATCACAAATCATATCACCTACATGATTGCTATCTAATATCCTGGATCATACCAACTGTATGGCTGCTATCTAATATCCTGGATCATACCAACTGTATGACTGCTATTTAATATCCTTGATGATACCACCTGTATGACTGGTATTTAATATCCTTGATCATATCACCTCTATGACTGCTATCTAATATCCTAATATATGATTTGTGATCATAAATGAACTATATATTTTTCTGGAGATTTTGAGTGAGTCTTTCTTTATGTTATGGTTCTGTTGATTTCAAAAGTTGCAACGTACGTTATGTGAAGTTCTGTTTTTATTGTTTGTAATTTTACTATTTCTACTTAGTTATACATTTAGGATAACCAGGGTAGGCTGAAAGGGCTACTACTACGAAATGTGAGAGTGTATGATTTCTACGTTAAACTTAAAATAATCACACTGCTTGACTTATTATGTATTTGAAACGAATGAAAGTGTTATCACTATCGTGGTTTAATAATAATATTATAACCGATACCTCATGAGAAAATTATACTGCAACTTACACTTAGAATTAGAACTTGGAGGGAGGACCATAGGCTTAAGCACACATTGATCACAGAATTACTTGAGGGTATTTTCATACAAGACAAAGTTTCTCCCAGAGTAAATTACAATAAATCTAATTAACAATCAGGTAGAAATTCACTGCAAATTATTATTAATATAATATGATCCACTGCATAGCCGTGGGAACCAAAATTAAATATAAATCATAATAAATTATAGTCCATCATTCATCAATGGCATCACAACTTATAGATCGATATTAAAGTCTTAAATCTATGTCCACCTGTTTATCAATCCTAATATAATGTATTCAAAAACCCTTAAAAGAAATGAATGTTCCATATTAAAATCATATGATTATTAACGACTCCTACCTTGCAGTTGCAGTTTTTTCAAGGTCGCCATGTTAACACGAGAGATAAACAACAGGCCATCTAGTAGCATAAACATGATATTCACGGTAAAAGAAATATTTAAAAAATCTTCACACAGCTTACCGATTTTAGAGATTAGGCTTCGCCAGGATGGGCGTTAATATCGAATGCTGCAATATTATCAATACGTATAATTATAGTCATTAACTATCTTACACACTAATATATATATATATATCTTCACAATTATCAATTTTGAATATAATTATTTAAATATTTCTATGTAATTGTTATTATAGATCTATGGTTCCAGGCTATTATGTTAAAACTTACATTTAAAGAGATAATTGAAAACTCTTTTTCAAGTAGCTAAAAATTACAGAGTTATCATTAACATATTATCAGTTGGAGTTATGGTCATATTTATTCAATAAATTTTTATATAGTCTCCTTCCCCTTAACACCAATGTGAAAATATTGTAGTAAGGTATGTTTCCAATTGTTGCGTTACCCAGGTCACGTGACTAGCATCGCGCCATCTCTTTCTAGAAATATCCCGTACCTTCAAGAATGCCCTAGCATTTACTAGGCATGTGTTAGTCTTGTATATATAAGACGTTTACAACGTGACGGGAAAACAGTGTAATGAGTAATTGAATGTATGCGGATAAAATATTGTTGGCCACGTGAGACGTGAGTTATAGCGTTGTTAAAGAGCGACTGTTGAAATTAAGTGTATCGTAAAGTTATATTCAGAAAGAATAAACCAGTTTTATTTAAGAAAGGACTTGTATCGCTAAAGTTTCGCCGGAACGAATTTACGGAAAAATGGCTAACGAACCGAGACGTAACACAATGTTTCATTAGATGTTAACCAAAGAGCGCTTGACGTTAAAGAAAGTCTAATGTCAGGTTTTGTTCAGGGCTAGATTCTTTACAATAGGTGCCTGTGACTTGTTGGCGAAAAATTTCAACCATAAACAAACAGAGCACAGTCCACTTATTTTAAAATAATATGTGAAAACAAGTCAAATGTTATACAAATGTTTGCTACACAATTAATCACCACAGTTGTAACCAGAGCTTTAAATAACCGTCTCTTTTCGTCAGTCGACACAGGCTGGTTCAGTTACTTTAGAACTCAATTGACAAAACAAAATATTTCTTCTCTATTCTGTTGTTACTATACAATCTTTAAAAAGTGTTACCATACGCCTCTTATGGAGATGCTCACAATCACAGGGTCTACATCTATCTAATTCTATCTTTCACTAACTTGCGTACTTGAACTACATTTTGGACGCGTATTTATAAATAGCCTGACTGAGGCCTAGAACTTCCCACACAATATAATATATTATGATGTAATAATACTCCAGAAAACTTAGAAGGTTCTAGTAACATGACGCAATAATACAACAATCGCCAATTTACGACACTTGAACTACACAACGAATAATTCGCACAGTTACGTAAACAAACCTGCAATAAACTATTGTTACGTATCTACTTGTTAGTTTGTTTCCGGTAGAAATTCTTTCCGAGGATCTTCATCAATACAAATCCTTACTTGATTAAACCAGTTTATTCTTCCTCGATACCAATTTTTAGAACACAGAAGTTCCACAATCAGTACTGTTACGTCTCTGCTCGTTTGATAATTTCCGGTAGAAATTTTTCCTGAGAAACCTCAGCAATACAAGTTCTTTCTTAAATAAAACTAGTTTATTATTTCTCAATACAACTTTGCAATACACCTAATTTCCACAGTCACTTAAACATACTCTATAATTCTTAACGAACGATTCACGCACTTTTCTTACTACCGTGCTTGACTCAATTGTTCGTCTATATGCTCAATCTCTCTGCCCGCTATTCAGATGTTGCCGTCACTTTATTTGGCGGTTTATATACTATAAGAGCACCATTCTAGCAACCACTAGGACGTTCGACAAGTTCCTCGATCTTTCTAGATACTCATTGCATGTTACCAGGGTCACGTGACCTCCGTGTCGTAACACTGCCCATTCCTTAGTATTGTTCGTCCCGAACAATAGCCACTTAAACTAAACCAATAGATAATTAACAATAACTTAATTAAATGTACATAATTTACAAATACAAAATTAAAATTCAACAAAGTCTCTTAATTTTATGGGACGTATCCTCTTCTGTACTGGTCTCTGTCTCGTTGGCTCCTGCTACACGTAAAGTTCATCTGCTCCATCAGGAAATGTCCCATTATCGGTAGCAGTCACATTAGTGTTAGTAACTCCATTAATGGCTTCACTGTTTTTCCTTTCAAAACCAGGTAATTTCTTCTTCAACAGTGGCTTTTTCAGGTGACATGTCTTCAGCAGCATCATTTATTCTGTTGTTCATTTTGTTCAAACTGAAATGTCATGGACCATGATAATGCCAAAGCCTGTTGACATGCGTCACCTTCGGCTTACCTCGCCGACCACATTTTATTTGGAAAGTTGCGTCTGAGAGACGATCCACTATGTCATATGAACCTTCCCATGGAGAAGACAACTTAGAAGACTTCCTTTTGGTCACCCTGGGATTATACAACCACACCTTGTCTCCTGGTACAAAGCTGACTTCAGTAGATCTCTTATCATAACATAGCTTCATGGAATCAGCAGACGTTTTCGAGTTTGAACGCACTTGATGATGAATATCATCCATCCTTTAAGATAACACTTTCACGAACGCTGACACATTTTCAGCCAACTCTTCGTAAGGTGGGCATCTTTTTAACAGATCCACTAGCAACCAAAGTACCCGACCAAATATCAACTTTGCTGGAGTGTATCCAGTGGTTTCATGTTCTACTGTCCTATAGACCATCAACAGTGGAGGGAGTAAGACATCCCAGTCATCTTGGCAGCTATTACAAAACTTTGCCAATTCCTGTCCAAGTGTCCACTTATACTTTTCTACCATCCCATCAGACTGTGGGTGAAGTGGCGTTGTTCTGGTATTTCGTATGCCAAACAACTTGCAGCATTCACGGAACACAGCTGATTCAAAGTTATGGCCTTGATCTGAATGCAGTTCGTAGTGAAATAAACCATCACTTGATGGAAACCCAACTTTAAGTCTTGATTTGAAAACCATCTGGCTCCACT